GTACCCCCATAGGTGGTTAGTAGCTCGAGTTACCCAGAGTTGAGTTGTCACAACAAATGTGACGTTATACGTCTTACATAAGGTCAATAAATAACAAAGTCAAACGAAAAGTCAAACATACGTCAAGTAAGGAATTATGTTGAATAAACAAGTAGTCGCAATATAAAGAGACTCAATTCGAAGAATACATAATCAATCAAAAGTACCAACATACATACTTTTAGAGGTAAAAATTATACCAAAATGTTACCGAACAAATAAACGTATTATTTTGGWGAAAACACATACTTGTACCAACATTGACCCACTTAAATACATGATTAGAAAGTGGTTTTCTTACGATATATACGACATAGAACAATTGCAAGTGAATGGAAATGCAGTACAAAAAGAATATCAATAATCGTGAGTCAATCAATCGGAGTTGAAAGAAAGCTTAAGGACTCGTAAGCAAATGTAAACGAATCAAATGAATGAATAGAATTAAGAATCCGTACCTTAAACTTCACAAAACTTATCGATTCCCAAAGTTTATTCCTTTATATTTGCCCTAAACAAACACCCAAACTTAATATATATACACACACACACACACACATCTGACGGGTATTATACAATGGTTCTAATTGCATTCCAATGATCAGAAGGTTGAGGTTTTTATCATGTTTGTGTCTTCCTTTTAAGGTTGTAACAACTGTAATCTACACTGACATAGATGAAAAGCTGGTATTAACATTTCTGGCATAGTCTTTTCAGTAGTATTGTACTCAAAACACCATGGCAACTCCACAATTAGTATGCTGCCAATTTACATTATCCTTTTTACCAAAATTTCAGTTAATGTTGATGGAACAGTTATTAGGCCACCATGGTTGTGTATTAACAGTTAGATATCTATCTTTTATTTTGAAGTTCAAATGTGCAATGTCATTTCTTATGGATCTTCAACAAATATTTGGTTTATAATTATCATCCTAGATATTGTAAAATTCAAGAGTAAAATTTTGAATTAGGGTAGCAAACAAAGACATACAGTTGCATGTCTAATTATGTGATTTGTATTCGTTCGTTTGTTAAAGAACTGCTATTTTTCAAACCATAGGTACTACTTGCTAAACGATAAGGGTGAAAAGGTTGAGGCGCAAATTGGAGTTGTGCGGACCAATTGTATTGATTGCTTAGACCGCACAAATGTCACACAGGTACATTTTTCTTAGAAAGTTTATATCCTCAGCATATCTCAAGTACAATAGTGAGAGGGTGTCATTGGTCAACAGTCTCATTACAATGCCATAGAGACGTATATAAAAAAAGGGAAAAATTCAAAAAATCCAACCAACTTTCGTATTTTGATAGATTTAGTCCCTAAACTTTTTTTAAATGAAAAAACCATTAAACTTTCTCATTTGAATGATCAAGTCCCTGAACTATTTTTTTTTAAATCAAAAATCAAAAAAATAGTTCAAGGACTTAATCATTCAAAGTGAAAAGTTTAATGGTTTTTTCATTCAAAAAAAGGTTAGGGACTAAAACATTCAAACTTGTGGACCATGTAAAAGACTTTAGTGGGGCCTTACTCATTTTTAGTTTCAATCTTTCTCCTCCTAGAAAAGGATGCTTAAACAACCTTCAATCTTTTTGGTTGTTCATTCTATTAATGCTGTGTTATTTCTGCAGAGCATGATTGGGCGTAAAATGCTGGAACTCCAACTTCAAAGGCTTGGTGTTTTTGATGCTAACCAAACTATTAGATCTTATCCTAATTTTGATGACTGCTTCAAAATATGTACATACATATTGGAATTTCTCTACCTTGCCTTTTTTAATTATGGATTCTTAGTTTCCGTGTGAAATGTTTAATATGTATATCTTCTTATGTCATAACTTTCAGTATGGGCAACTCAAGGGGATGATATAAGCATTCAATATTCTGGCACGCCTGCTTTGAAAGGAGATTTCGTCAGGTGCTTTTACATGAACTTCCACTTTGTTTTGCTTGAATATATGCATTTGTGCTGTTTCTCAGTTTTGTACTTGTCGTAAGATGGTGTTAGTTAAATGTAATTACTTTGTAATTTTCTGCTTTTTTTTATAATCAATTTACTATTTTTTTTTTCAATTTCTTCTAGTACTTATTTTCTTTTTGCTTCAGTACTTACCACAAATGAATGCAAAGAAATTCTACATCTTGTATTAAATCATTTAGTAGTGTAGATCATGGTTTCTTTAATCTCTAATAGTCAGTTTACTCTATCGCTTTAATAAGTATAGTCATTTCTCTTATTGTTCTTAGTTTTCATTTTTTTATGTTCGGATAAAGTCGATTTTTGTTTAGTGCTTTAGATACACGGCCCCACAATCTATGCTGCAACTTATATGAACTAAGTGCTAACAAATTTACATTTTATATAAGCTCATTTATTTAGGTGTGCATCATTGTTTTTATAATCTCTAATATCTTGGAGATCACTCTGAAAGTAGTATTTAGTTATCTACAGCATTGCATATATCATATTCTGTTAAGCTTTCTATGAGTCGTGTCGATGAAGTTATGGTATTATTGTAAGATATTAACTTTTAGCTTCCTGGAAGGCCGTGTAAGGATGGGCATTTGTACCCTATCGAATTGTCATACTCGGAATATTAAGCAATCTTGGCTGTCATTCAATATAAGAATGGAGTTTTCTATTAAAAGATCTTGTAAAGAGAAATCTGAGAAAAACTTAGGTGGATGTCAATTCCACAAGCTTCGGAAGCAAAACCTGAGAAAATATAGAATGAGCCCTGAGAATTCTAGGAAAATTATTGCATTTCTCGTTTTAATCGTCAATTTTGCTAATTTTGCTTGTGGTTTCCTACCACATTAGTGGTGACATTTGAATTAAAACCTTGCTTTCTGTTCAAGTCTTGATGATAATTTATCGGAAAGATGTAGAAGCTTAATTTCAAGGTTCGAAAAATAACTTATAATTTGTCTTTTTGGCTATTTTTAGATATGGCAAGAGGACCAGCCAAGGGATCCTTAAAGATGGCTGGAATGCTCTAATGCGCTATTACCTAAATAATTTCGTAGATGGTACAAAACAGGTCAGTATGACAATCTTCTTACGGTTGTTTGGAATATTTGGTCCTGACTTGCTTAGAAGTTTGCAACAATGATTTTTCTCAATTAAGATTGGGTTTGTAAGTCTTTTGTAGTGAAGTAACTTTGCCTATAAACTTCCTTTCATCCAATCCACAATTTTGTTTTTGTCAATACATTGTTGTTGTACCAGAATCACTCCCTATTTTTGTCATGTTTCAATTGTCACTAAATTCTACTTAATTAATTATTTATTTAATGTGGCATATATAGGATGCAATTGATCTACTGCAAGGACATTACATTGTTTCCGTTTCTCGGGATATGGCTCCCAAAAGGCCCACAGGAAAGGTTGAGGCCATTGCGGTAAGTATATTTTAAAGAATTTGGGACCCCTCTCGTTTCTTGGTCATATATATAAAATATATTCATAACGTAAGAAGCTTAATTTTCACTTGATCAAATGAGTTTTCTTCATTTATTGAAACCTATGCATTTGTAATGTTGGTTTAATATGTGATCAACATTCATCACTATTAAAACAAGTAGTTGAGGAATGTTGCATCTTCCTAGTAAGAAAGAGCGATTGTTTCATATACATGAAGAAACAGAGCATCAACCAAAATCATACCCCCCATAAATAAACTACGTATAATTATGACTTCGTCCTAAGATAAAGACTAGAATTAATAGCAAGTAGTTAGTTTCACCAAAAAGATACGGAGACTTCACATTTGGAATTGCTCAAAAAACACTTTATCTGAGAGAGGTCTGCGGAAAATTCTGGGCCTCTTCCAACTCGTCCCAGAATGGGCGTTATGGCAAAGAACAAGAAGAAAACAAAAGGAGAAATTTGTCCAATAGTCACAAATGGYGCCTCCACAGGTTGACATCCGGTAATCTAGGCCTTCATAAATTAAAGGTTAAACAATTATGATAGATATGGCTCCTCCGGTTAGTAGGTCATATTTGGGTTGGTTCTCTTTTATCTTTCCTGCTCCCTATATCTGCTTAAGAAAGGCCCTGCCTTTCATCATATATGAAAGAAGACAATTCAAGATTGGGTTGGTGTTAAGTTTACATGATACATACAGAAATCCTTGTATGATTTCTAATGGGTTGATATTGTTTTTCTGCAGTCGTTCCGTATTGCTTTAGCATTGATAGCAATGGGGTTCTTTTTGACTATGATGTCACTCAGGCAAGGTGAGAAAACCATAGTTATATATTTTGTGGAACGATATATATCGTTATTTCAGTTGTGTAGTGTTAAATTGATCGAATCTGGGTGCTTATGCAGTTCCGAATGATGTTTGGCATTTAGCATTTTCACTTTTGTGGGCGGGATTAAGTTTAGGGATAGCAGCATTCGTGAAAGCCAATGGGCGGGTTTTCTGTAATCGACCGCGTCTACACAAACCCCCCCTCTGATCAATGATTTATGGCAACTTCAGGTACTATTCATTCTTTCAGAAGCAATATACACTTTCTGGGTTATTTGTATCAACACACAACCTTTCCACTTCCTTTATTTTTTCTACTATGTAATTCGAAGTCTTATATCTTGTAATATCATTTGTTTGTTTTGACTAAAAAGGTCAACCATAATTTTTGAATGAAGCAGTCTTTCCAAATCATACATTTCCTTGTTTATTAGAAATATTTACGGAAATAGCCTCTCTCCGCTTTTGGGTCGGTAGAGGTGCGGTCTGCATATATATATATGTATATATATATACATATATTTATTTTCAAAAAATTTATGATATCTTCGAATTTATCCTTTATTCAAAAATAAAAACATTATCCTTTTCTCAAAATCATATAAAAACCGTATTAAAACATCTACAAAGACGGAATAAAACGAAACATTAAAATTGAGATATATCTCCATTCATTGCGCGAGTACCCTTTAATATTTGTCTTATTTCTGGTCAAGAAAAATGGATTCAATTTATGGTTGAAAAACAAGATGATAAAATCTAAAAATGTTGCAAGCTTTATACAAGGTAAATTACATTAAAATTGAACAATCTTTTGAGTTGGATTATGTTTAGATGAGCAAGGAGAGGTTGTGTGCCAAATTGACTTAATGTTCTTTGCATGAGCTTATTAAACATTATGGATGGTTTTTCTCACAAATAGACCAAGTCTGCCAAACAATAATCATCTTTAACAAATGGATTGTGAATATTGACCTATTTCGGATCCCATGGCCATGGAAGTGTCAAATGATGTAGTTTAAAGTCAATCACCACCGTCATTGATGGCCCATTTACAGACGGATTTTCAAAAGCCACTTTTTTCTGAGGGACCAATTTATCAGCGGATTTTCGACACCATTTATTACTGATAGACAATTTCTTCCATAAAATTTGGTTTTGTCGGGTTTTGTTTACATAGACACATCTCATGTATATAATACAATATGGTCCCAATTGTGTTCATCGGTTAGTGGAACTAATGTGATTATCAATCTTCAACTCGACAAATAAAAATCCTAGCAAACGAAGGAATCTAACTTAAATATACTTGTGTTAACAAGAAAATAAAATGATAAAAATATAATATATGTTTTCAACATTTAATATATATATATATATATATAGAGAGAGAGAGAGAGAGAGATGAACGATCAAATGTAAACCACTCAATTTATACAAACCGTGCAAACCATCTTCATCCGTTGATTTCATTGTTTAATCTTATGAAAATTTTTCATGAAATTGTTTCATATAATACTTTTATTTGATTAAGTTGTTTCATATATGGTTATGAAATTGTTTCATATAATACTTAATGAAATTTTAATGAAACCGATGTATTTCTTTAAAATTAAAATAATGAAGATGATAATATCTATGATTAACACTATCCACAATAAAAATGATTAATCAACCTCTTATAATTACAAAAAAAATAAAAAAAAAAACAATTATGATTGGTTAAATGAGATTTATACAATTTATACAAATAATGCGGTTTGTAAAGTAAACATTTTTTACATGGATAAAAAAGAATCGAATACCTTTTGAGTTGATAGAGCCATTGTTAGCGTGGTTTGGTGGAGGGACATGGTCGTATCAAACTCATAATTAATCAAGTATATGGGGACATGAGTCATAACTTCCGTTAAAGCCGTTGTTGTATTTATTTATATTATATTATAAATTAGATTTATCAAAAAGTTTTAAAAACAATTTTTAATGCACAAAGTACTATATATTTATACACAAAGTCTTAAAAACAATTCATAATGCATTAAGTACTACTACTTTATGCATTTAGTCTTAAAATCTCTTAATCTACAATTAAAATAACATATACTACAAGTTACCAATGCATATTATTACTTTTTATTTTCATGTTCTCAAGATACTTTTGACACCTTTTATTCATGTCTTTACCCTCCCATACCTCTATGTTCTCCTCATCCTCCAAAGTGAGATTCAAAATGATATTCATCATGAGTCATTCATTTATCTCTCATTCAATTGTCCTAGAACTCTTGGTCTCACTTTCGTTCTCTTGATTCTTTGCTCTTGTGTGAATCAAACACATTTATGAAGTCGTTTAAATATGTTGGATTTTAAACTGTCATACAATTTTTTTCATCGATAGACTGTAATTGGAACCATAACTCTTGTTTATTCAAATTGTATTAATATATATAAAGATCAAATTTAACTTATATCATCGTTAAATCTTCTCTAATAAAACCAGTAAAACTTCAAAATCGTTAAAATTCACAACTCTCATCAAATTGCACGGATACACAACTAATAATTTATAAAGAAAATACCATTTCTTTGAATTATTTAGTGTCTAATTTAGCAAAATAGAAACTTTGATGGCCAAAATATTTTTCAAATATCAAACGTATCTATCCCCCGTTCCCCTTATCCATCTCGGCTCTCCTCCTCCTCTGCATTCGCATCAATGGCCGGCGCTGGCGCCCTGCTAAGAACCACCTTCCTCATCGCTAAACCTAACTACAAAATCCCAATCACCTTTTCCCTATTTCAATCCCAATCCAAACGAACTCCCCACCACCATAACCGCCGGCATTATCAATTCATCCGGAAATTCTCCTCTTCACAACCATCTCACCGGAATCGCTCCAACGTAGTCGATATTCTCGAAGAAAGAGGCTTACTCGAATCTCTCACCAGCGAAAACCTCCGTTCAGTTTGCTCAGATTCATCTCTTCGAGTATATTGCGGCTTCGACCCCACTGCCGAAACTCTCCACCTCGGCAACCTCATCGGAATCATCGTCCTCTCCTGGTTCCTCCGCTGTGGTCACTCCGCCGTCGTTCTCGTCGGCGGCGCCACTGGTCGCATCGGCGATCCATCCGGTAAGTCTTTCGAACGCCCTGAACTTGATATCCAAACCCTAAATAGAAACATCGCCGGTATCTCCGATACGGTCCTCAATATTCTTAACGTCGATAATGGTTCCTATTCGATTAGGGTTTTAAACAATTACGATTGGTGGAAAGATGTGAAATTTCTTGATTTCTTGAAAGATGTTGGAAGATTTGCTAGGGTTAATACAATGATGGCTAAAGAAAGCGTGAAAAGAAGATTAGAAGCATCTGATCAGGGTTTAAGTTATACAGAATTCACTTACCAGCTTTTACAAGGCTACGATTTCTTTCATTTGTTTAAATCCGAAAATGTTAGGGTTCAAATCGGGGGTTCGGATCAATGGGGAAACATCACAGCTGGAACCGAGTTGATTCGAAAGCTTCATCAATCTGATGCTGCATATGGACTCACATTCCCTTTGTTACTAAAATCCGATGGCACTAAATTTGGAAAATCCGAAGATGGTGCGATCTGGCTTTCACCATCGATGTTGTCTCCATATAAGTTTTATCAGTATTTCTTCTCTATTCCGGACGATGATGTGGTGAGGTTTTTAAGGATTCTTACTTTTGTGAGTTTAGAGGAGATAGGGGAGATAGAAATGGAGATGAAGAGTGACGGGTATGTGCAGAATTCAGCGCAACGGCGGTTGGCAGAGGAGGTTACGCGATTTGTTCATGGGGAAGATGGTTTGGCGGAGGCGATTAAGGCCACAGAGGCTTTAAGGCCAGGGTCTGATACGAGGTTGGATTGGAAGACGATCGAAGGGATTTCAGAGGACGTTCCTTGGTGTTGTTTAGGTTATGATGAGGTTGTGAATGCTCGTGTTGTCGATATTTCGGTTTCAACAGGTCTGATTGAGAGTAAGTCGGCTGCACGGAGGCTATTGAAGCAAGGGGGGTTGTATCTGAATAATGGGAGAGTTGATGATGAAGGGAAAAAGATAGATTCAGATGATATTGTGGATGGGAAAATTCTGCTGTTATCTGCTGGAAAGAAGAACAAGATGGTTGTAAGAATAGCATGATTCATTTTCTTTCCATGTTAAGAAAAACATGTGATCAATAAAACAGATAGAAGTTTTTGATATGTGATTTGGGTGTATTCAGATACAAAATGGTAGGATAGGGTTTATGTGAACATTAATGAATCTAAGTTTGCGTATATGCATATACAAGCTAGGATTTTTTGGTCCGTCTGACATATAACCATGAATGTCTGTCTATGCAAATTGACGTTTAGTCGTATGGGATTGAAGGTAAATACCTAGAGCGATACTCAAATTAGTAACCAGTACAAGTTTGAACCAAGTTTGTCGCATCAAGAGTTGCAAATTACCAACACAAAACAGATGGTGGTTTATACAATTCATATATTGGCTTAATTACAACCATATAATAAGTTTAGAAGCTTATTGATTAGTAGTACCAGTGATATATATAATATATGTAGTTCCAAATTGATTAAGCCTGCTTCTTGTTCTTCTCCAGATAGTAATAGTTCCTCTGATACTTGAAGATCCCCCAAACCACATGCCGTAATCCCATCTCCGGCCACAACGCTTTCGGTGAATACAACAAACTGTTGCTCGTTTGCCACAGTAAAAAGTTGCTCAGCCTCGTCTCACCGGAGCTCCTCACCAGAATATCAGGATCAGGAACCACCCCCATATACATATGCTTCTCCAAATCCACCACTTTTATCATCATCCCATCATCCTCCACCTCATCTTCGCCATCATTATGATAATGCCCATTCGACGCACGAGCTTGACAAGCTTCGTGAATTGCACGTGGGATTTCATGGGACGAAGTATATGCCACACAAACTAACAGATAAGTGCTGGTGTTCTTAGACGTGGCTTCCATTGCTCTCTCTGCAGCAGCCCTTACTGGTTCTTGAAGTCGACCCAGATCGCCAATAAACAGCACTCTAATGCCATAGCGGTTCACCATATTCAGTTCTTTCAAGAACCCTTCAATCTTTTCGTGCATGAGATCCATTACATATTGAACTTCATCTGGGCGTCTATTGAAGTTATCGAGGCTGAATGCATAGACGGTCACGTACTTAACTCCTGCTTCATAGCAGTATTTTAAAACCGACATGAGTGCCAAGAATCCGGCTTTGTGGCCTGCTCCTTCTTCCAGCTTCCATTTCTTGGCAAACCTTCGGTTTCCATCCATGATGAAGGCGATGTGTTGTGGGATGGGACCAGCGGACATGACATGAAACATGAATCTTCTCATTCTGCTGTTTAAGCTTCCTAAGAACCTGCCGATCACACCAGATGTTCTTTCTTCTGCCATTTTTGCGTAGCTGTGAGTGTGAGTTACAAGGGAAAAGGGTTAATTATATGAATGGATGTGTGGGTATTTCATCAAACACCTGTGGAGTGATGATTGAACACAACACAATCTAGAATCTTTGTTGTTAAATTATTAAAGCCATGATGCAATATCCATATCCAGCTGAAAGAGACATTAGTGAATGAATTAAGTTGTACGCTTGAACACAGACCCTTACAGTAATATGTATATATTATATTATATGTGGAGAGAGAAAGAGAATAGAGAAGTGAGACATTTTATTTGCCTTTCATTTTATTCCTCACAAAAAACATATATATATATATATATATATATATATATATATATATACACACACACAGAGAGAGAAGGGTTCAAACGGGAACACATTCATTTTATGAGAACGCGAGAACACTATTTTACTATAGACAATCACATATGATACTATTATTTCATCACATATGATACTTAATCAGAGACGCGGACGACTTTCGATGCGATCTTGGTTGCGGGCCAAGTCGCCCTTACACCACTAAGTCCCCTCACAAATATCATCACATGTGATAAGGGTGTTGTTGATATGATACTACAATCCATCAAAACCATCACATGTGATGCTAAATCATAGACGCAGACAACCTTTTGACACGGCCTAAATCATAGAACACGTCGTTTGCACTTCATAGAGTCCCCTCACGCGTATTATCACATGTGATAAGGGTGTTCTCGTATTCTTATAAAATGAAGGTGTTCTCTTTTAAATCTCCCCACACACACACACACATATATATATATATATTTTATTAATGACTAATATTTTTAATTTAGTAATTATTAATTAGTATAGTATTAAAGAAAATGTAATGCCATGACAATCCATAATTAATGGCATATGCTATTTTCAGGTGTCATTTAAAGTGAATGACAAAACCACCTTTTACTCTTACCATCCATCATTCATTCTGCATTTTCTTGATTTTTAATAACTAAACTAAACTAATTACTTTATATTTTTTATTAACTATATTTACATATATTTTCAATTATAAAATAATGCTATATATATATATATATATGAGATTATTAATACCATCAGATAAATAAGTTCAAAATGCAATAACATAAACATATTTTCATTTTATTTTTAATTTGATCAATTAGACTTTAAAAATTGTTACTAAAATCATTCAACTTTTGAAAGTCGATATAAAAATAATCATTCAACTTTTGAAAGTTGATAAAAAAAATAATCATTGAACTTTTGAAAGTTGATAAAAAAATACTAAGATACGTGTAATAACCAATCAAGGACGGAGTACGGATTTTTATCTGTGTGGTCCTCTTAAACATAATTATGTAAATATATAAGCATGTTCTATTGGTAAAGAGATCACTTGTACAATAGTGAACTTAATGGATTTTCATTTTCCGTAATTTAGTTGTCAGTTCTTGATGATTTATATGACATTAAGAGATCGTTTATCAAATACTAACCAAGTAAGCATTTACATGTAAGAGTTACCCCCTTTACTTTATCAGGTTGCATTCTCGACCATCAAAGTGGATTGTTGGTAGGCATCTCTTACTCAGTAAGTGCTAACTGGCTAATTACATTCTCGCTCCTTACCATGCTCATCTGGTAAAATAAGTAACGCCCACCTGGTAAGTGTTTGATAAAACACCCCTTAAAGATCGATAACATCCAATAGAATCATTTTTCAACAGAATAATATCTAAACATTTCTTTTTTCACTCAAGATTCAGACACAATTCTGAATATAATCCATAGAAAAAATTAGGGTAAAAACTAATTGAATGGAACTGATGGACGATTACCGGGACAACACAAAAAAATCAGAGGCAACTACTTGAGAGAAAAAGTAAATGAGTCTGAAAGATTTTAATTAGAATACAATTTAAATAAAAATTAACAAAAACACAAAACAACGATCAAGTATATGTTCTAAAATCATAGTTTGTAATATAAACAGTTACAATACACATTCTTAGCTTGAATTCTTGTATAGAAACACTAGCCAACAAAGGAAGAAACAAAAGTGGTGCACTAATTCTTTTTGACGAAATACTCATAACGGCTCTCAGAGACTTGAATCTCAAGTTTATTTGAGATCTATTTATTCGGACAAAACTGTTAATTTATTGATACGACGTAGTTTACCTGATATTAGCTATTTCAATAAAATGTTTATACTTTACATAAGGTGGGGACCACTAGTTGCCACCTGTAACGTTAGTATTGGTTCATTTATCAAATCATTTAGTGTAGTCTAGAAGCTTCTTACGTGAGACGGATATAAAGACATGCCTTCTATATGTGAGGATATCTTTTGGATCACTTTTCATATGAATATGAAGACACCAGAACTATTCTCTATGTAATGGAGTAACCAAAGTTATTCTCTACGGTGAAATCCTATTTTGCATCTATCATTTATCTTGGCAAAAGAGTCATTATCATGATAGTTGTATTTGTGTTTCGCAATGCCATTAAAAGATGGTGAGTAGATTATCTTAAAGAAGAGATAATAAACATTGTTTTGATACCACTTGTTTGTCTCAAACGGATCTACAAGAGTTTTAAAGGTAACAGTTTGTAGAAAGGGGGATGAATAGAAATACATGGTTTTCACTTTTTAAATTCGTTTATTGATAAAAGAAGATCAATATGGAATTTATAGATTGTTGCGAGCACAGAAAAATATAATAACAAGAGAGAAGAGAGTTAGAAGGAGAAGAAGGTGCTTGCTGAGAAGATGAGTCTTCTCAGCTATTTATACCCATTGCATTTAATGCAAGTCAAAGGGTACAAGCCACGCGGCAAACTTCTAGTGGAGAGTTTGTCTTTTGTCTTCAGATATGTAGATTTTTGGCCGCATATGAACCATTGTCTTTCACAAAGTTGGTAAGCACATTTGGAGACAATAAAGTAACTTTGTACGGGTATTTTTCTATGTGAGGTATAGAGTTATCCTTGGGGTCAAAGAACACTGGAAGTTGTTCTTGTTATCACCGAATCCACTTCAGATGTTCTTGTTATCACCGAATCCACTTCAGATCACAAACTGTTATGTCTCTATCTTCAATTACATCTTTGACATCGTTGAAGGTTTCTTTGATGTGAGTTTTGTTCTTTCAGTAATACTTGTTCTTTTAGAAGTTTATAATACATGTTCAGTGATCACTAAACAGACTTAGAGATGATCGTTGAGACTAAAAAAGAAGTAGAACACACATATTTCACTAAGTATGGAGGGTCATTATCAAATCACTGAGAGAATTTGGATCAACACAAGTACTGTTTCATAATGAATATTACTTAAAATTCAAGATTACAAGTAAATGATTGATAGTACAACTTTTAAAAGTTTTATATGTTTGAATTAATATAATTAACTGATAAACATAATTAAATACAGGATAAACATCTCTTTTTAAATATAAAGATTCTAAAATATAATTAGGATAATCATTGAGTTCTAACAAAATAATTGATTATTATCTTTATAAAAAATTATATTATTGAATTTAAAATAAATTAGTTCGTTATATAGCTTAAATCGTATTATAACAAAAAAAATTGAACTAAAAATAAGAATAATGAAAAACTAAACTAGAAAATTATATAAAAAAAAACCCAAGAACTTTTAAATTGTTAATTTGATACTAATATCGATATAAATTTTTATAGGGTCTTAAAAATTTATATTTTATTCAAAAATAAAAACAATATCGTTTTCTCAAAATCATACAAAATTGTATTATAAAATCGACACAGACAAATTATTAAATGAAACAATAAAATCAAGATGTATCTCGCTTCATTGCATGAGTACGCTTCTAGTTTTAATAATATAGTTAATGTTGAAATTGCTAAAATAAAGTAGCTGTTGGAGTTGAGTGTAATTTTTTTAGAAATTTTGACTTTTAATACTCTCTTTTAGAGAAAGTAATAGTTGGAGATGCTCTTGGCGTGAAACAGAAGAGCGATTGAGCGATTGAAAAAATAATACTTAGAGTATCTTCAACAACTATACTAAAATTTCTCTAAAATAGAGTATCAAAAATTAAAAAATTAAAAATATTACATTCTACCCCAATAGTTACTTTATTTTAACAACTGAATCATTACTTATATTATTAAGGGGCTCTTTATCAAAAAATTTATTAAGTCCTGTATGGATAAATTTGTCTGTCTGGATAAATAAGTGTTGTTGTTTACTTTTTTTATCTGAACCAACAGTCTGAATAACATAAATGACCGATTTACACCCCAATATTAATTATTTGAACATCAAAACAAATAATCATAATGAAGCCGAAGATGGGGTGTCTCATATAGGAAGGAGGCGGTGCTTTTAATAAGAGGTAGGGGTGTCATTTTTGTGGCTGAATGGGGACAACACATCATTTCTATTTGTGCGATTAAGCCATATTCTGTGCAAATAAGTCGTAAGTAAACAACCCAAATGAATTGTGCGAATAAGCCAGACAGACCAATAAGCCTAATTAAGCCGCAAGTAAACAACCCCTTAATATCTCAACAACTTTTTAAACAATTTTTCAAACAATCAAACTAACTTTTAAACAAATTTCATATGAAACGGTAATTTTAAAAAAAAAAACATTTTATAAAATGATAATTTATAATAAACTTGATATAAAATGGTAATTTTCAACAATTTTATGTAAAATAATATATTCTGATAATTGTTTAGCAAATTGTAAACGTTTTTGTGTGTGTGGGAACATAAATATAATATATGTGTTATGTTAACTCGTACAAATTAGGTTAAGTGAACTTTTGGTAGGATTATGCATAATATATTTGTACTATATGCTTAGCCAACTTGTATCTTAGATTAGTTTTATGACAAAATGTCATACAAGGGGTCAACATGTACAAAATGAAACTGAACTTGACTAAGAATGTTAAGTTTATACCTAGTAGGGTATAACGTTGAGAATTTGGACTTGAAGTCAAATGTTAACCAAGTTTATTGTGTTAACTTTGTTAACCATTTTCAACCAATGTCAATCCATCTTATATATAGGTTCATATTCATCTTATAATTTAATAACAAGGGTAAATATGTAATTTTCTTTTTATATAACTCCCATATCATTATTGAGAGTTACAAAATCAAAAAAATCCCATAATTTTTGT